TCCTTCCTCAGATACTGTGTGACCCTGTGCAAGTCACTTAATTTCTCTCTGTCTCAGTTTCCTCATTTTAAAAATAACATCATATAAATAACATAAATATCATGTAAATAAAATGATATCATATAGTAACATCATAATGACACCACCTACCTTCCAGGGTTGTCAAGGTGGATCAAACGAGATAATGTATGCAAAGTGCTTTGCAAACTTTAAAATGATATACAAACATTAGCTATTATTATTATCATCATCATCATTATTATACCATTAGGGGATGAACAAGGCTTCACTCCAAAATATCGGGAGTGAATTTACCTGGTAATTTGCATCTTGTTTGCCCTTGGTTTATTCAATACCAACATCTCCCAAGCATCAGTTCTCTCCCTGGGAGGCAAAGCCCCAAGGAGAAAATGTTAAATTTTAAATGTTTAATGCTTAGAATTACTATTCTCCCTCTACCTGTCAAGACCCTGAAAACCACTGCTATAGATTGAGGGTGATGAAGGTTTTTCAAGTTCAAGACATACTTCTGACCAGAGATTTTATTGACAATAGTGATGGAAAAGAAACACAAATAAGGGAAACTGTGTAGGGAAGCAGAATCAGGGAATTACCAAATTCAAACCTAGGGTCTTCTACTGGTGTCCAGTACATGCAGGATGGTTGGCATTGTAGTATGGTGGCCTGGTTATTGAGAGAGGTGGGATGGAGACCTACCTGGTAGGCTTGTCCCTTTCAATTCACACATTCTATGTTCTAAGGTCCCTTACAACTTTTTTATTCTATGATTCTATGTTCTAAAAATCTTCCCAGCTCTGACATTCTATGTCTTAAGGTACTTTCCAACTCTTACATCCTATAATTCTATGTACTACTAAGAATCCTTCCAGATTCAGTACTGTATGTTCTAGGACTTCTTCCTGATATTCTATGATTCTATATGCTAAAAACTCTTTCAGCCCTAATATTCTATGATTCTACATTCCAAGAATCCTTCCAGCTCTGACATTCTGTGTTCCCAGGTCCCTTCCTGCTCTGACGTTGTATCTTAAGGTTCCTTTCAGCCTTGACGCTCTCTTTTCTCTGATCTGATGTCCCTTTCAGTTCTAAACCTTCAGGAGAAGTGAGGACATGGAATAGGTATGCCTTGCAGAATGCTGTGAAGCAGGTAAAACTGGTCTTCAATAAAGCAGCATGCATCCATCCATCTATCCTTCCTTCCCTCCACTCTTCCCCAGGTTGTGTTTCCTGCTGCCTTTTGACCCCACCCCCAAGTACTCAGAACCTCACCAAGTCCCTGGGATATCCATCTGCCAGAAAATTCTCTCTGATCCATACTGGTTTCTCACTGGATCATGGATTTAGAGCTGGAAAGGACCTTCGAAGTAAAAGAGTCCATGTTTTATAGGAGGGAAACTGAGGCCCAGATTTACACAGTTAGTAAGTATCTGAGGCAGGCTTTGAACTCATTCATGTCTTCTCCATAATGGTAATAAGCCTACATTTATTCTCATACAACATATAGGCAGCCTCCCTATTCTGCTTCTGTATAGGGCTGCAGTAAAATCCAGAGCAGGAACCAAATGAATGCAATATATACCACTATACCTGATACTGACTCTGTGTGAGTGGGGTGTGTGTGTGTGTGTGTGTGTGTGTGTGTTGAGGTTAGTTTGAGGGTGAAAAAGTGATTGTAGTTCCAAGTCCAGTGGTGTGAGAGAAGAGAGTACTAAGTCTGGGGATCAGGAATCCAGATGGACTTATCTGTGAGGACTTGAAAATACAGAAAGAGATTAAGTCTGCTTCTAAATGTCTACCATATTGAGAAATGCCTATATCGATCCCACTCCTAATTAGGGGTGGGTAAAAAGATACAGACCAGGAAGACCATTTGTAGAGAAATGCCTACAGTGCTTTGTAAAGGATCATATATTTAGAACTGGAAAGGGATCTTAGAGATCATTGAGCCCAAATCCCTCATTTTATGAAGAAGAAAACTAAGTCCACCAGAAAGGGCCAAGAAACTTCCCCAAGGCTATACAGGTAGTGAGAGAAGTGAGATTTGAACTCAGATCCTCTGACACCATGTCCAATGAGCTTTCCATGTAGCCAATTTCAACAAAGCCTGGGAGGAAGGGAGTACAGGAATGAAGATGTAGAGCTATAAGGGAACTCAGAAGCCACAGAACAGAAACTGAGGCAAGGGAGAGGTTAAGTGACTTGCCCGTGGTCACACTGCTAGTATCTGAGGAGCGATTTGAACCCAGATCTCCCTGACTCTTAAGTGCAGTGTACTATGCACTATATACACTGCCTCTCAGGAGGTAGAAAAGAAGGAACCTTGAGAAGGAGATCAGTTCATAGAATCACAGAAGATAGAACATCAGGGACAGAGAGGACCTTCGAGCACCATGGTGCTGAGGAGCTTTATAATTAGGAGACCTGGGTTCAAATTCTGCTCTGCCATTTAATCCCTATGTGACCCTGGGAAAGTCATTTTGCCACCACCCTCATCTCCAGTTTCCCATCTGTAAAATGAGGGAGTTGAACTAGATACCTTCGAAGGTCTCTTCTACCCCTACATCTATGATACGTATAAATGAACATATGATGTCAAATCTTGCAGGGACCTTGTGAAATAGATCACAAAGGCTGGGTGAGGACATTTGGGGTTTCAATGGCAGACACTGTTAAATATGGTGGAAAAAGTGCTGGACTGAGAAGGCCTAGGATCAAGGTCGGGCTCTATCTACCATTTAAATTACATCATCTCTTTGACTCGCTTTCCTCATCTGCAAAAGAGGAATGACAATATTTGTCCTACCTGCCGGTTAGTCTACCTGACACAAGGCTCTCCCCTCTCCGGTCCATCTTCCACTCAAATGTTGAATTCATCTTCCTAAAGCACATACATGTCTGACCATGTCTCACATGCACATACAACCCTGCCCACCCCGCCCCCAACTCAAACTCCAGGGGCTTCCTATCACCTCCAGGATCAAATATAAAACCTTCTGTTTGGCATTCAAAGACCTTTATAACCTACCTTTCTTATTTTTCCATTCTTCTTCTTACACCTTACATCCCTCTCCCCCTTCCACATACTCTGTAATCCAATGACATTGGCCTCCCTGTTGGTCCTCAAAGAAGACTCCGGACACTGGGCATTTTCACTGGCTATCCCCCATGCCCAAAATCTCTCTCCTCATCTCCACCTGCTAGTTTCCTGGCTTCCTTCAAGTCCCACTTTCTTTAAGAAGACTTTTTTGATTCCCCTCCCCCTTTAATTCTTGGGCCTACCCTTTGTTGATCATTTCCAATTTATCCTAATATGACTTGCCTGGACATAATTGTTTGCATATTGTCTTCCCCATTATACTCTGAGATCCTTGAGAACAAGGGGGCTCTCGTTCACCTTTCTTTTTATCTCCAGTACTTGACACAGTTCCTGGCATATAGTAGGTGCTTAATAAATGTTTATTGACCGACCTACCTCACAGGGTTATGACAGCATTATATTATATATACTATATAATTATATACTATATACTGTACAATTACATAATCATGCATAATATACATATTACATAATTAGAATATACAATTATGTAGATTATATAATTACATACATGATTATATACACATACCTACATCCACATACATATATGTATATGTGTGTCTATATATATATATATATGTATGTATGTATATACACTGTTATTAAGAACACAGGATGTCAAAACTAGAAGAGACCTCAAAGATCAATCCTCTTGTTCAACTCCCATTTTAAAAGAGAAAACAGTCCCAGAGAAGTGACATGTTCAAGGTCATGAATTTAATCATCAGAAAGCACAGGAAAAATCCAGGTCCCTTGATCACCCTTTCCCAACCTAACTCTGCCCTTTCCCCTCCATCATTCTTGCTGTTCAAATCCTCAGACACACAGGTTTATACACTACCTTTAAGCTATTTCAGTGCTGAGGCATGTCATCAGCAAATTCCTGGGTGTCCAGGCATGGGACAGCAGCCCCCAGAACCATAACCTTTCAAGCACATCACCAGTTGCCATTGGCCATTCTGGTCTGCCCTCATCTGTCTCTTAGTTTTCTGCAATTCTTGATGCTCCAGGCCTGAATCCCTCAGTTGAGGCACGTAAGTAACCCCTGTTCTAGGCCTGCTGAACTCTGAGGTAGAGTAGGGAGGAAAACACTTGTACCTTCTCACCTAACCCCATCCCCCTTCACTGGTCTCCCAGAGGCAACCAAATGTACAACAGGGGAAAAGGTAGAAATGAGAATCAGCAAATGCAGTGTTTCACACACTATTTTTTCCCACAAAATATATTTGGTCATGAAATATATTAATGGAACCCTAAAATACTGATCTAGGATCCCTGAGGGTATGGAATATCTCTGGGATAAGGGAGGAAAGTGGAGTCAAGGAAATTTGGAATGAAAAGTTTTCATTCCAGCATGTAAAACAAGCCCTTGTTAATAGATATGTAGTTTTCCATTTGATATTTTCAAAGGAAAAATATCACCATCATTGATATTTTCTCATGGAATCTCCACTCATGTTACAGAAAAGAAAAAGGTTGTATGAGTCATAGTATGGAAAACTGGTTTAGTGGCCAGAAAACCCTGGGCTTGGCTTAGGAGACCTGGATTCAAGTTTCAATTGTAATTAGCTGTGTGACCACAGGCAACTCAGTTCCATTTTCTGAGCCTCAATTTCTTCATCTTTAAAATGAGAACAACAATGCTTGGTTGTTGTGTTTAGCTTACATGAAGTACTTATACTACCTGCCTCACAGGGTTGTTGTGAAGAAGACCCTTTGCCACTGCGAGTAGCTAACATAATTGTGACATTTTGATTATAGACATTTGTTTCCAGGGAACTAGGCTGGTTTTTTCTCTCTACCCACCTCCATTCATCACCAAGGTCAGCTCTCCAAAGTCAAATCCTCTGGGGACTTTTTCAAGTTGAATTTGTTTCCACAGGTGCTTTCCGAGGGGTATGTAAGAAAATTGACCATTTCCCTGAAGATGCAGACTATGAACAAGACACAGCTGAGTATCTGCTGAGTAAGTCTCTCCACTCTCCGGTTCTTCCTGGGGATGGGGGAAGGGGAGAAGATGAGGGAAGGGATGGTGATCTGTCTCTGGGTACATGAATCTGAAGGTACTACTAGAGTCTCCATTCCATAGTTTGGGTGGTTGGAACAGAAATAGTTTGTTGAAGTAGAAAGAAGCCTGGATTTGTAGTCAGAGGACCCTGAATTCAAATCATGACTCCTCCATTTACTTCCTGTGTGACCTCTCTGGACTTGAGTTTCCTCATTTGTAAAATGATGGCCCAAATGGCCTCTAAGATACCGTCTACCATCAAATCTATGATCCCATGAACTAAACAGAGGGGCTAAATATTACCTTAGATCATTGAAAATTAGAGCTGAAGGACCATTCAAACATCAAATATACAATGTTAGAGCTGGAAGTGACCTTAAAATATAGAATATTAGAAATGAAAGCAACCTCTTACATCATCTAGCCATTTTTCAGGTAAGAAAACTGAGGCTAGAAGAAATTATTTCCTCAAGATCACACAATGAGTCAATGACAGAGCCAATTCTATGGGTCTCCAGACTCCGGGTTCAATAGTCTGTATGATTAATCTATATCAGCCTATATCATAATCTATATTATGCTATAAAGCTTTCTTTATTGTAGTTTTGCCTAAGAGTAAACTGGCTTATAGCACAGCCTCCCTGCTCATTAGATATGGAATTTGAGAGATAAGGGTTATTGGCAGGGGTAAACGTGTCATGGCTGTGGCCTCTCCTGTTTTCTGATAATAAATGTGGTTCCCTTACAGAAAATCAGGAGAAAATAGGCCCGGAAAGAATCCTGTACTTGCAGTCAAGAGATCTAGGTTCTAATTCCAACACCAACACGATTTCCTATTTGACCTTGGACAAGTCATATCCTTTTTCTGGGCCTCAGTTTCTTCTATAATTTAAAGGGATCCAAGGTCCCTTCCACATCTAGTATTCTATGTTCAAGGCCCTTCTCACCTCCAACACCATGTTCTATGACTAGGGAGGTGTTACAGCCTGCCTTGACCTTGTATTCAGTGTTGTTCAGTTCACATAGTCTGCAACTTCTTCTTTACATACAGCTGGTCTCAGATCATTATGCAGCTCAGGGACTTCCCCCAGCTCTCTCTAGTAAATAACTTGACTCTCACAGGTCATTAGGTGCCAGTGGGCCCACTGAACTGTCTTTTCTGATTCTCTAAGTCCATTTCTTTTCATAGCTTCTCTTGATTTCAGAGAGCAAAATCAAGACAGGTAATTGTTTCTTGACTTTATCAATTACTGTAGATTTCCTCAAAAAGTGTTCCTTTCATTTTTAATCACCAGAATTAGATGATCACAGGAGTGGTAAATAGGTGGGTGATTTTTTTTAATAGTCTAATAAGGACTCAAACCTGAGTAATTTAAATTGAAGACAGTAGTTATAGCAAAAGAGTAGATCGTGGAATTAATTACCCTTCACCCTCATTTTCAAAGCAGGAACCATAGCAAGTCCAATTAAAGGAGCCTGAGAAAACATCTGGTCCCCTTGTTCTTGTTAACAGCTCTGAGTGTTTTAACAACAAGCCTTAGGTAAGTTAACAGTATAACGTGATGGCCAAGAAAGCTCATGTGACCTTAGGGGCTACAGCAGGTAACGCAATGCAATTTAATATGGGAATTGGAGACAGAGGACCCAGGTTCAAATCTCAGCTCTGCCATTTACTGCCTTTGGCAAGAAATTTCACCTCCCTAGAGCTCAGTTTCCTCATCTGCAAAATGAGGGGGTTGTACAAGAAAGCCTCCAAGATCTTTTCTAGCTCCAAATATATGATCCTTTAATTTAATAAAAGTATAGTTCACAGAACAAAAGAGGTTAAGAGTTCCTCTGAGATTCCTTACCATTCTGATAGTCTGTGATTCTAGAACCTATGTATATGGCAGCAAGGGCATTGGATTGAGAATCATGTGATCTAGATTCAACAATTTTATTTTAAAAGCCCCAAACATTTATATAATAAGTTGTGATTTTTTAATCTACATACATTATCTCATTTGGGCCCCTAGGTTCAACCTAGAATTTTCCCCATTTTTAAAAACTGAAGAAACTTGAGGTCGAGAGAAGGCAAATGATTTGCCCATGGTTTTACAACCAATCAATGACAGAGTTAGGATAAGACCCTAGATATACTCTTAAGATTATAAATCTAGAGCTGAAAGGCACAAGAGATTAACTAGCTTAGGATTCTTTCTTCCCCTGTACTGTCTTCTTCCAGTCATTTTAACTAATGAGGTTTCTCTGATCAGGAAAAAAAGAAAAACACAGGCTGGAGAAGCTAGTAAATATTACCTACAATGCCTGACAACCTATTGGAATGCAGACAGGAAACAGGGTCAGAATACCCAGAATTGATCCTCCTCCCAACTCTGCAGCCCCAAGCCCCCAAGTCTGGACATGAGCCATGTTAACGTGCAGGGCCAGATCAACCTTGGTTAGAGTTGTGTGCTGTCCTATTTTTATTCATTTGTCTTGAGAGATGACATACCACTAAAGTACACTCTGTATTTCTTTTTAAATTAAAGTTAATTATAATTAATATTTTAATAGAAGCATAGAATTTTCAGAGCTATGAGAGACTTCAGGCTCTAAGACAAGAGCATTAGAGCTAAAAGAGACCTTAGGACATGGAATATATAACCTTAAGTGTTTAAAGGGACCTGAGAGATATTTAGAAGGCCATGAACAAGCTAGAGCATTTCCAGGTAAGGACATCCAAGGCATAGAAACTATGCTTTAAAAAGATCAGTTAAAGAAATCAAGAATATTTACCCTGAAGAAGAGTTAAGGATGATAACCATGTAGTTATCTGAAGCACTATCATGTGTTAGAGGTATTTATTCAGCTCATCCTGCTGGGCCCCAGAGGACAGGGCTAGGAGCAGTGAGTAGAAGTTAAAGGGAGTCAGTTTGGGGGTTTACATGAGGAAAAACTTCCTTCCGATTCAAGCTGTTGAAAAGTGGTTTCTTCATTTTTAGATGTCTCTTCAGTCAAAGACTGAATGACCACTTGTGGAGGATGGTATGGAAGGGATCTATTCAAGTAGTCCAGCTGGAGAGTTCTTAACCTCTTCTATGTCATGAACCCTTTGGACAATCTGGTGAAGTCCATGTTCCCCTCCTGAGAATAATGTCCATTGCCTATATTTATAATTAAAGGAAATGCTGGATTTCAGTCGGAAGATAATGAAAATAAAGATGCAATTTTTCCCCATTTAAATTCCTAGACCTCCTGAAAAGTCTAGGCTCCTAAAAGAGGAAACCCTGGTCTAGGTGATCTCTAGTTTTCATCCTCCTTCCATTCCACTATATTTCCTATTTCTCGATCACATGATCTAGTCCTAGCCTCTCAATCTACAAATGAGGAAACTGAGGTACAGAGGGATTAAGTGAATTGCCAAATGTTAAGAAATAAGTTAGTGGCAAAACGAGGGTTAGACTCAAGGTGTCCTGACTCCCAATGCTGCACATTTTAAATTATATCCCATTGCCTCCTCAATTTCGCTGGGCAGGTTTTTGAGAATCACTACTAGACACAGCCAGAAGGCCCCTAGGATATTGAGCTATCAGTGCTGCACAGTGAATGAGGCACATACCAAATGTTTGTGACCACATCAGGACCAGTGCAAGACATTGTTACTAAAGGGACCCAAAAGTAGTTAGAGGGCATGAGCACCCAGAAATCCCTGGATGGTGAGAGCCATAGAGCTAATGAAAGGAAGAGGAGATGAATCCATACCCGCAGGGCTGTGTTGAATCGATCATTCTGGAGCCAACTGAGATTTTTCATCCTACTGGCTAAGCACCAAACAGTCAATCCAATTCAGTTCCTGAAACAGTCTAAATAACCAGATGTGAGCTGTCTGAGAGACCAAATTGGATCAAACATTTTGGGAATCAATCATTTCTTTGGCACTCAACCAAGACATCCAAAAAAGATCCCCCTAATCAACAGGAAAATGGCTAATTCAAAACTCCAGGAGACGTTCCCTGATTAATCCTATCCCACTTCCATCACTGTTTCACTCCATGTCTCCTCAGTGCTTGCATAGTCATTGGGTGGGGAGGAGGAAAAGGGAGAAGGAAAGAGTTGCATATATCAAAGTGGAATGTAAGTTTCTTAGTGAAGGACTACATATCCATCTCTCTCCTAAAAAAAAAAGAAATATTCCATTGTGCCCAGCACAGAGTTTATGGAATCAGCAACTCAGAAAAGATCTCAAAGATCATCTTGCCCAACCCATACCTGAGAATGAATACCCCTCTGCAACATCTCCAATGAGTGGTCATCCAATTTCCACTTAAAGACATTTCCTGAGGAAGACCTCACTATCTAACCAATCAGTACACTTAATTGTTGGGCAGCTCTGAGGGTCAGAAAATCCTATTTTTTAATTATGAACCAAGTTTGGCTTCTCTTTAACTTGATGTAGTTTCATTGTTAGTAAAGATAGATAGATGGATAGATAGATGGATAGATAGATAAAAAATTTTAAAGTGGGAGGGCATAGGTTACAGGGGGCAAAATTTAGTCTGAAGACAGAAGAGTCAACTAGATAGCTTTTCCAGGGCCCCTCCAACAAAGAAATGCTTTGGTTCCTTTGGGACAGCACAGGTTGGCCAGCATGAATCTCTGAGGTAAAACAAAATTATTTCTACAGATTTTCCCAAAGAGACTTATTTGTTCAAATAAAGCCAGTCTTCCCATAGAGGCATTAGAAACTCAAGCAAAGGCCCAAAGGAGTAGAAGCCTAGAAATATGGGGCTAAAAGGAGAGAGAAAGATCAAAAACAGAGAATTTTTTTTCCTTCTTTGTCCCCAAAGACACAACCACACCAATAACTAGAGCCAATGTGTACAAACACAGAAGTTTGATAGAGCAGATTCCTATTCAGGCAGGGATTGCACTGATTGACGTCAGAGGTCCCTTCCAAATCTGAGATTCTACAGAATGACTGATGTTCTCTCCTTCCAATAGACTTTAACCTGGAATATACAGATAAGTCATATACAGGTATTACTGGGGCAGCTAGGTGGTGCAGTAGATAGAGTATGGCCTGGAGTCAAGAAAATCTAAGTTAAATCCAACCTCAGACACTTACTAGCTGCATGACCCTGGACAAGTCATTTAACCTCTATTTGCTTCAGTTTCCTCAACTGTAAAATGGGGGGAGGCAGGGCAGGAGGAGTTAATAATAGCATCTGCCTCCTAACATTGTTGGGAGGATCAAACGAGATAATAATTGGAAAGCGCTTACTTAGCACAATGTTTGGCACATAGTAAGCGCTATATGAATGTTTGCTATCATTACTACTGTTATTAATATTATTATTATTATATTATTATTATTATTATTAGGATCAATGGGTAGAAGGTACAGGGTGGCAGATTTTAGCTCATCTTAAGAGAGAATTTCCTAACAATTGTTAGATAATTGCTACCCCTAAGTCAGATAGGCTGCTTTGGGAGGTAATATTCTTTATTTCTGGGGGTCTTCAAGCAGAGAGGCTTGATAACCACTTGTCAGAGATATTTTGCAAAATATTCCTCATAGATTATCTCTGGTATCTAGTGTATGGATCATACAATATCCCCACTTTACAGATGAGGAAACTGAGGCACAGAGATTGAGTGACTTGCCCATGGTCACATAGTCAGTGTCTGAGGCAAGATCCAAACTCAGGTCTTCCTAACTCTTAAGTGCATTGCTCTGTCTGCTACATCACTTACAGGATATGATGGTACTGAATGTAGAAAAGGATGCTAGTATTTTAAGTGGTAAATCAATGCAACCATTACTTATAAGTCACCAATGCCACCATTTTACAGCCTGGACTGGACCCATTCAGTACCACTTAATCTCTGTGCCTCAGTTTCCTCATCTGTAAAGTGGGAATATTGTATGATCCATACACTGGATACCAGAGATAATATAGGAGGAATATTTTGCAAAATTAGAAGCACTATGTACATGCTAGTTATTATTATTTGCTAGCTGTAAAATCACAAGCAAGTCACTTAACCTCTCAATGCCCTAGACCAGGATTCTTTCCCTCTTCATCTCTGCCTCCCAGCTTCCTTCAAGTCCCAGCTAAAATCCCACCTTCTGCAAGAAGCCTTTCCTGATTTCCCTTAATGCTAGTGTCTTCCCTCTGTCGATAATCTCCAATTTATCCTGTATAGAACTTGTCTGTACATAGGTGTTTGCATGTTGTTTCCTCCATTAGACCATAAGATCTACAAGGCAGGGATGGTTTTTGTCATTCTTAGCATCCCCAGTGCTTAGCATACAGCCTGGTATGCTATAGACGCTTAGTAAATGCTTGTTAACTTGACTAAGTTTACCGAAAAGGTGCCAATGTGCTTAACAGAGGAAGTCTCCCACAGAGAACTCCCTATACAAATGATATCAAAAGTCAAAGACAAAAATAAAAGAAAATACATAAAAGAAAATACTTGTATTCCCTACTTCACAAGGTTATTACCAGCAAGGTGCTTTTTCAATTTCAAATCACCATAGAAATGTGAATCATTTAATATCTTATCTTATGGTCTTTTCCTTCCTCAGAACCTAGCTTATAGCTCTGTATGTGGTAGGTGCTTCGTAAATGGTCTTCATTTTAAATAAATTGAAGTTTCCAGTGAGAGGTCATGTGATCTTGAATTCTGAACTTTTCTAGTTGCTCAGTGCAAACTTCTCTGATCCTCTTTTGTTTCCTCCACACGCACAGGGGCTGTGAGAGCATCCAGTGTCTTTCCCATCCTCAGTGTGGGACTACTATTCTTTGGGGGCCTCTGCGTGGCAGCGAGTGAGTTCTACAAAAGCAGGCACAATGTCATTCTCAGTGCGGGGATCTTTTTTGTATCTGCAGGTAAGTTCTAGCACTGGGGGAGCAGAGGAGCTTCCTCATTCACCAGTGGGACTTCAGACACAACCAGACAAAGCCCACTCATTAAAACATAGCCTTTGCTGGGAGGCAAGGTAATATGGTAGAGGACTCAGAAGTCCTGGGCTCAAATCCTATGTATGCTAGCCACACAACCTTGGGAAAGTCATTTAACCTCTTCAAGCCTCACTCTCCTCTTCTATAAAATGAAGGAATTGGGTAAGATTGTCATTGTCCTTGTCAGCTTAAAGACTCCATGAATCATCCTTCTAGGATAGCATGGAGAGCCTTTTTTTTTCCTAACGAGAGCCAAAGCTTCACAGGAAAAAAAAATTACAATTGAAGGCTTGCTATAGAAAGCAACATAATTTAGTGTTATTTTTTCCTGAAAGACACATAAAACATCCAACTCATTTGTCAGATATAACGAATGCACACACATGCACACATAAACACACAATGCACACACACATACACTTTTGGCCTAAAGGGTCACTAAAAGTGAGCCAAAGAATAAGACCCAAAAGATAAAAGGGATAGGTAAAGAGAATGGGAAGATAGGAAGTAGAGAAAAAAAGGAAAAGAAAAAGACAGAGGGGTAAGAAAAAGAGTGACAAGGGGAAAGATGGAGAGAGTTAGAGATGCAGAAAGAAGACAAAAAAGGAAGGAAACAAAAGAGAAGAGGCTTAATTGTTCTTGAGGTAAATATTAGTAGGTCATCTCTTGCTGTAAACTTGGGCTGTAGATTTCTTAGGGAGCGCTATTCATTAGCTGATTAACCATTTTTCTGAACCTGCTCTAATGCATAAGTCTTTAGAGAATCTAACTCAAGCAGAATAACCCCAACAACCCATCAAGAAGGAAACCATAGTGTGAGCTAAAGCAGCAGTGACCAGAGCGAGATGGCACCCAGAAGACAAGATGAAATCAAACCACGAGGCTGCATCTGGCCCTGCAGTTAAAAGATCCACAGTATTATACAAAGACATGACAACCTAATCAGCTTAAAGATGCTGAGGAGCTTTAGAGAGAAGGAGTAAAGTCTGAGGGTCTTTGGGTCCCTCATAATGGGCATATTGGGTCACTATATTCATAATGTACAAAATGAAGAGAAAATGAGCTCCTATCATTATCCTGATATGGTAGTAAGAGAGCGACGAGTCAAATGACCAGTATTCTTGACCTTGCCTTGATTTATTGTACAATGTTGTCCAAGTCATGCCCTTTCCCGGCCTCAGTGTTTTCATGAGACGACTCAACTACATGCTACCAAGTCACTTTCTCTTTTAAACCTCAGGTTACTGACTAGAAAAATGTAGGGGTCAGACTAGATCTCTAAGGGCCCTTGCAGATCTAAGATTCTATGTTCTGTGTTCTACATTCCAATGTTCCTTCCAGCTCCAACAGTCTATCACTTAATACATGCCAAGGCAATCTAAGGACATAGCAGTTCTCCCGAGCTGTGCTGACATTCTCACCATTTCCACCTGTTAAATCTTCCAGGGAGATACCCATGCATAAGCTGCTGAAGGGCTGTCAGTCCAAAATCCAAACCTTTGATCTTTAAACTAAACAGACACATGGGGAACATTTATCAGTATGAAAAATAGTACGCTTTCTTTGTTCTTTGGGATCATTATAGCTTCTTCTGCATTCCTCAAAGCCCTGGACTCCAGACTTGAAGCATTTTTCCCAGCAAGCCTCCTTTTGGGAAAGTCTCCCATTGCCACGTGACTACAGGGTACCCTAAGACTCACATTATACCAGAGCTAGAAAGAGCCAGAGAACATAAGACTATCAAGCCTGGAAGGCCTTTTAGCAGTTACCTAACTCAAACACTTCACTTTACTAATGAGAAATCTGGGAAACAGAAAGAAGTGACTTGTGAAAGGCCACACAAGCAATCAGTGGCAAAGGCAACAAAGAACAGTCGGAAGAACAGTGGATTTAGAGTCAGATGACATGGATTCAAATCATCACTCTGTCACTTAATACTTGTGTCTGCAAGTCACAGCCATTCTCTCCTCAGTTTTCTCATACACAAAATGAGAACACTGGAAGAGATTACCTCAATGGTCCTCTGTTCCTCCCACTCAAAACTGATAACACTATAGCACCAAACACTGTCATCTTTCCAATCTGTAGGCAATCTGATTTAGGGACACTCAGCTTACAAACAACTGATAAAAAGCACAGGCATCAGATGGGGCCCAAGTCTGGAGCCCCTGCTAGCCAATGGACAGCTGTGCTTTGTTTCTCATTTCACAATACCTGGGGAACGTTCTTACCAAGAAAGGGACTTTCTCATAGGTAGATTGAAGAGAGTTTCTGTGTGTGTCTGTCTGTCACACACACACACACACACACACACACACAGCTGCTTGCCTCCAATGTCACTAAAGGACTGGAGGGGTATACCTATTGTCCCCAATTAGGACATTGACTACACTGTCCCTAAGAAAGTGTGACACCAGGTACAAAACAAATAGACTTTAGCTGTTTTATGGGTTAAGTAGGTCTCCCTGGGTTGACCAGAATGCCCAGTTAATAGGTATAATGTCAATTGTGTATGGAAATGCCTTCCAAGTTCCACAGAGTCATTATACATGAACCTTTTGGAGCACAGCTTGGTGTGAACCAGCAGATTGGGTATGGTAGAAAGCACATTGGACTCTGAATCAGGAGGACCTGGCCTTGAGCTCGGGTTTGACCACTTAAGTTCTGTGACTAAACCTGTCACTTCTCTGTGGATTGCTCTTTCTACACTCATAAAATACAGGTCTAGATGTAGACCTAGATGGTCTAAATGATCTCCAAGGTAAGATATTCCAGCTCTCATGTCCTATCTAAGTCAGCATTACCCAAACTAATTTGGCCATAGAACACTTGGGACCTGAAAATATACTTGCCCCCTCCCCCCTCCAAAAAAACAACTCCACATTAATATTGGCACAGGGAATTTGGAATCTAAGACACCACCAAGAAAAGGTTAGGAAATCTGGGATCCAAATAAAGAAAACTAAACTTATTTTCATGCCTAAAAATTACCTCATATAATAAGTGTTTTGATAGATGCATAATTTTATATTTAATATTTTCAAAGGAGAAATATTGTTAGCATCAACATTTTTTCACATTACAGGGAAAAGTTTGGGAAATGCTGCTCTAAGTTCGTAATACTCTATGATCTCTATTCTTCAGGTCCTACTAGCCCAGTAGAATGAAAGTTCCTTGAGAGCAGGGACTTTTGCTTTGTATGCCAAGCATACAGCAGTATATTGCACATAACAGATGTTTAATAAATGTTTGTTGAATTGAATTAACCTTCTATGTTCTATCCTCTTTCAACTCTAACCTTCTCTGATTCTGCTATTTGCAGTGTTTCCCATCAGACAGACCTTATAAGGATTTACAAAAGCACTTGTAACTTATTAGTAGCAGCTCATAGGTCTCTGGTCCTCTCAATACACTATAAATGTTTCATAGTTAAGTTTAGCAAGGGCACTTCTGTTTCCTATAAAAAGGTACATTTTTCTGTTCCTTTCTCTTAGGATTAAGTAACATCATCGGGATTATAGTTTATATCTCAGCAAATGCTGGAGACCCTGGCCAAAGTGACTCCAAAAAAAGTTACTCCTACGGCTGGTCCTTTTATTTCGGAGCCTTATCTTTCATCATCGCAGAAATCGTGGGTGTCATCGCCGTGCACATATACATTGAGAAGCACAGGCAGATCCGGGCCAAATCACATTCTGAGTTGCTGAAGAAATCCACCTTTGCCCGCCTCCCACCCTACAGGTACAGGTTCCGGAGGCGATCCAGCTCCCGGTCCACAGAACCCTGCTCCCGAGACCTGTCCCCTATCAGCAAAGGCTTCCACACCATCCCTTCCACTGACATCTCCATGTTCACCCTCTCCCGGGACCCCTCCAAGGTCACAATGGGGACCCTCCTCAACTCCGATCGAGACCATACGTTTTTACAGCTCCACAACTCCATTCCCAAAGAGTTCAAGGAGTCACTGCACAATAATCCTGCCAACAGGCGCACCACACCTGTCTGAGTGGACCTTGGCCCTCTGCCCTCTGCCCAGTCTTTCCCATGCCCAGTGCAGCCTTTGGGGGAAGTGTACAGAGGTTTCTGTCAGATTGCATGGCATAGTCCCCGTGATGGTATTACCAGTGAAACCCTTGTTTATAAAGAATAAAACCAAATGGGCCTCAGCCCTCCCCCCAGTCTTTACTCCTCTGCCCTCCTTTCTGAGACAGTTTCCCTTTCTGAGGTCCTAGCCTGAAAGCCAGCCCTACATGACCAATCAGTTTCTGGGTCTCTCAGTGCCAGATGTTTCCTCCTCTTTCTTCATTGGATAGAAAGATCTTGGCCTTCTTTCCTCCTTCATCCAGAAAGGATCTGGAGGCATTCCAAATGGATTGGGGGAGGGCTCCACCAATCATGTGAATAGGTATATATCCCTATCATCCATCCACACTGAGCCTCTGCAGATCCAGTGACTCGGGAGTCCCACTCCAGGGGGAATCATTAACCTGATAGTTACGTGTTACAAGAAATTGCCTAGAAATCAAGAACGTCCAAGCACTGACACGGCTAATGTCATGAGCGCTTGTGTTATTAAAAATGTTGCCTTGTTGTAACCGATTGAACTGGAGGTGTTTTGTTTCTTCCTTGTTTTTGCTGAACAAGTTGTCCTCTGGAGCTGGGGAGCCAGGCATTCTGAAGTCAATCACCTACCAATGACCTAATGCATTCTGCTTAGCCTGATTACTCTATGGCATTCTATTCAACAATAAACCTTTCCATGTGTCAAACATTTTCTCAGGCCCTGCTATGTATAGGGCCCTATGCTAGGTCCTGAAGGTAGGAAATAATGAAGAGAACACAGTCCCTGCCCTGATGAGGCTCACAGTCCAGTATCAATCAATCACCATCTAAAAAATATTTACTATATGCAGAACACAATTGGGCATGGGGTGGGGAGAAGTACCAAGTATAGTTAAAACAATCTTTGTCCTCATAGAATGCATAGTCTAGTAGTAGTTGGGGGATAAAACACATAAATAAACATTGATACAATTTGAAGAATGAGAAGGCAGGAATATGGTGGGCAAGGCACTATTTTAGGCATCAGGGAGATAATCATAAAAGCAAATTCCTACCCTCAACAAACTTAATTTCTATTGGAAATAATAAGAATAGCTAACATTTATATAGCCCTTTAAGGTTTACAAAATGTTTTCATGCTTAATTTCATCTGCTCCTTGAAATAACCCTAAGAGGTAAGTGTCATTAATGTATGTAGATTAAGAGACTGAGTTTTTTTTAAAAGTTTGGTGACTTGCCCAGCATTACATACCTAGTAAAGGTCTGAAGTGGATTTAAAAATCAGGTCTTCTTGACCCCAAACCCAGTACCTATCTATCTTCAAGCTCTACACTTTGAATTCAGAAGATCTGGGTTTCGGTCCTGGCTCTGAAGCTACCTAGGACAAGTCATTTCCCCTAATTAGGCCTTCATCTGTGAATAGGGCTGGCATGATTAATATCCCTTCCACCTCTAATACTCTGTGATTGGTGAAGTAAATAGGGGGTAGTACAAAATACTTTGGGGTTCCAAGGAAAGAAAAATAATTTTTGATGGGAGAGGTGGTATCTGGGAAGGAATTATGGAAGGCTTCTTGAAGAAGGTGACATTTAATCTGGGACTCAAGGGATAAATAGAATTTAAACAGGTGGATATGGGGACAAGGAGGACATGGTATTTCATGTATTAGCTAAGACACAGAGGTAGGAAAGCACATGAAGTGTAGGGGGGGGAGGGATGTCAAGCAGTTCATTTTGACAGGCACAGAGGATTCCTGAAAGATTAGGACAGATGGGTAGGCTGGCACCAGATTATGGAAGATGTGGAATGCTAGGCAGATGAGATTAGTGTTAATCAGCAGGCAACAGGAAGCCCTTCTCAGCAGGGCAATGAGCCTGCCTAAAGGAAAAAAAAAGCCAGGAGCCTGTCCTTGGACTATCACCTATATGTGCCCAATGACCAGATTTCTATCTCTCATCTCATCTCTCTCTCAAGCTCTAGACTTTGACCCAAATCTCCAGCCTCCTACAGAAAATCTCCACCTGAATGCCAACATGACCAAAACTCAGGATTACCTTTATGTCCCAACCCACTCCTTTTGACTTCATATCTGTCATTTAACTTTCACTCATGTCCAAATCTTCATTTTTATCTTTAACATTTCTCTCCCCCTCATCTCAATTCAACCATTCAATTCACATCAAACATCACCAAATCCTATTGTTGATTCCATCACCTCCTTTCTAGTACCTCTGCTTCCACCACTTTGTGCCCTTGGGCAAGTCATTTAACCTCCCTGGGCCTCAGTTTCTTCATCTGTAAAGTGAAATGGTTGGACTCTGAGAACCCTTCCAGTTCTATATGTATGCTTTGATTAGCCTACTTATCACCTGGATCAGAAGTGGGGAACTATGGCCTCGAGGCCACATGTGGCCCTCTAGGTCCTCAAGGCCCTTTGACTGAATCCAAACTTCACGGAACAAATCCCCTTAATAAAAGGATTTTGTTCTGTAAAACTTGGACTCAGTCAAAAGGCCGCACTCAAGGAACAAGAGGACCACATGTGGCCTTGAGGTCACAGACTCCCCACCCCTGACCTGGATTATTGTAACAGTCTCCTTACCTATCTATCTGTCTCCACACTCTCCCTCCTTCAAACCATTCTTCATACTGCTGCCAAAGTCATCTTCTTAGTGTAAAATTTAATGTTTCACTCCTCAGCTCAAACATATATACTGTTTCCCTAACTACTGGATCAAATTTAAACCTTTTACCTTGGAATTCTTGGAGATCTTTCCCTCCTCCAACCCCATCTCTTTTCAAACTAACACACTGCTCTTCTGCCCTGTCTTCAATGAGTTTACATTCTAATGTGGGGGTGAGATACAACATGTATATATTCTATATTTAATCCAAACTAGACTATTCATTGTCCCCAGAATATATCCTGGGAATGCTACTGCCTTCTTGCTTTTGTTTTCATATTTCCCATTAATTTCTAATTGTTGAAATTCTATCCATTCTTCAAGAACCAGTTCAAATGCTTATCTGATTAGTCCCCTCTCCCACAATGGAGATTATCTCTCCCTTTAGTTCTCATATAATATTTTGTACCTCTCTTATATTCTTCTATTTTATAATATCATTATTTATATATTTGTCATATCCCCTACTGGAGGGTAGATAAAAATGTCTTAAGTAAATCTTACATCTCCCCCAGTGCCTAGCACAGTGCTCTACATAAAGTTTATGTTTAATAAATTACTTTTAAGTTGAATTGGGCCTCTACTCTCTCCATCTCTTCCCCTTTTCTCCTCCATCTATCTTGAACCCAAACTCAATCTCTCCTCCACTCTAGGGTTGCTGAAACTCAGACATTTTGAAGGGCTCATTACAAGGACAGGGAGGGTGCAATTTTCCCAAGTATGTTCTACATGGCATTTATGAAGCCCTGTCATCTGGCCTTCACAACCATCTTGGGGAACTCACAAATGGGAAACAGCCTACATTTACCACAGAATGAATTAAAATCTCACACAAATAGCTCTCAAGTCAATAGTCTGGCCATAGACCTGAAAAGGCTGACTGATCTCCAGGCCAGTGGAGACCAAATAAAATTCCATTCTTTCAACAACAGCTTCAGATTAAATTGAACAAAAAAGGGCAAAAATAAAAGTTTCTATGTTCTAACAAAAACAACAGAACAATGTGATATGGTGTTATAGAGAGATCTCTGGATTTAGAGTCAAGAGACCTGAATTTGAGTACCAGCTCTGACACTAACTTACCTTGGACAAGTTACTTACCCAACTCATATCCTCCATGCTTAAGAGTTACAGTTTACTCATCTGTCCAATGAACAAAAGGATTTCTAAAGTTCCTCTCAGATTTATAGTCTATGAATCTATGAGTTCTGGCTTTAACACAACCTGGAGTTTTACCTTGACCAAGTCACTTCCCCTCTGTGAATCCCATTTTCCCCATTTAGGAAATGTGGGAATTAGACTTTAAGGTCTCTTCCAATTGTGACATTCTATATTCTATGGTTCTACAATCTCAGTTCTCTCTGAGGACCTAGCTCTCAAAATGAAGACTTTTGCATTAGCAAACCTCTTTCTAGAGATTCTTGCTGAGAGAAAAAGACAAGGAGCTATTTCTTCTCTCTCTTCCTCCTAGAAAAAATCTGGTGCCTATCCAACAAGAGCAGAGCATGAAACTTGGGTAGAGAGCAGAAGTTTCTACCTACTCCAGCGATTCCCCAGCACCATATGAACTTCTCCTCCCTAGGTGCTGCTGGGGACTGGAATCTTGAACCATATCTCAGGGTTTAACAATGCCACTGGATGAATTTCTTCCTAAACCTGGAAGTATTTCCCCTCCAGCCAATAGGTTAGTTGGTGAAATATGGCAGCTGTAACCTATCTGAAAAGGTTCTTGTTTCTTCCCCAGGTGTAAATTATAGAAGGGGGTAAGAGGGGTCTCAGAACTATATTCTCAGGCAAGAATTAAATTAAGATAATCTGTGGCCCACTGACACCCCTTCCAAAACTCATCTACCAAGTTCAGTTACCAGATTATATGACTATTTCCCAAAAAGCACAGAGGTCTGTCTACTAAGGATCCCCTTCCCCTCCTGGGAAACATACAAATGGGATGCTACTCCCTGGCCCCAGACCCAAATGGTCAAGTTCCAAGGGAAACACAGATTCACACAGATGAGCACTGCAATTGTGTATCAGCATTAATGTCTCTCAGCAATAACTTGCCTCATGTGAGCAAAAGCAACAGGACAGATCAATTCACAGACACCAGGGCATGATTGCTACTGGCTACTTACAAACTTTCAGGGAAGAAGCATAAGCTGATGGTAATGTGTCCTTATCATTGCTTCTAATTCCCATGCCATGCCTAGCCATTCATTTGGCTCCCTGTAGTGTGGAAGTAACCTAGCATCTCAAGGGGTAGAGTGGGAGCTCTAGCACGTCCTACCAATTCGATTCACTTACTAGCCTTACTAAGTGTTTACTACATGCAAAGAAGTTCAAAAGACACTAGAGATATAAACACAGGGGCAAAAAAGTAGTGCCAGCCCTCAAGGAATTTATATCCTAATGGAGATCTACCCAGCTAAGTAGAATACAAGGTAGGGACTGATTAGGACAAAGGAGAGATCCAGGAAAATTTGAGGAGGAAGAGAACACATTTAGCTGAGGTAATAAAGATGGGGAACAAGAAAGGAAGATTTCACAGAAAAGGTGGCACCTGAGCCAAACCCTGAAGGAAAAGAGGTTTCTGAAAGGTGGAGATGCGAGATTTCATTTCATGCATGAAAAATGAGCTTGTACAAATGTATGGTAATGGAAAAGTGCATGTTGAGCTCAGGAAAACAACTGGACAATAGTTCAGGATAGAATATAGAATGTATGAAGGGCAATAATGCAAAATAAAGCTGGAAATATAAGGTGAAGCCAGATGGTGGGGCAGCCTTAAAAATC